TGGATCAATCAAGAGCAAATATTCCCAGATATGCTGCCTCTCCCAGATGACCTACAGCAGCTCTGTGTTGCAATTTTGACTATCCCAGATGGCATGTTCATGTTGTTACTGCCTCATGACAATATTTTGGTCACATCACTAATCAATCATTGTCTCCCAGAAATTGCAATGTGGCCATTTGACCAAAGTATATAGTTTAATGAAAACCTCCCTACTGCCAGGGTTGACCCTCAGGGACAAATACCTCCTGAGCCATATGCTGAACACCTTCATAATAAGTTTGGCCAAGCACCCCTCAATGAGAAGTGCTCAATACATGATCTGCACAACCAAGATACTCTGTTCCCTCTTGTTAAGGTCGTGCTCAAGGGGGAGGTTACTCAAAGGGCTTCGGCTTCAGCTCGTGTGCTGTGCCCCTTACCCGAGTATGTGCCCTTAATTTCCAGTAGACAGAGGGGAAGTCCGACAGAAATCTGGGGAGTTCCAGAGGACAAACGTCGGTGGAGTTCGGCGGAACTCCAGAAGACTATGTGGGGACAGAGTAAGGCTACTATGGAAGTCCAGAGTAGAAACAGAACAGAGGTTAGACTACCCTAAGGTAGAGCTGGAGGATTAGTCCTAAGGTTTAACCCCTAAGACTCGGAGGTGGACAAGAGGTGAGACTCAAGTCCGGAGATTGCAGGAATGAGCAGAACTAAGATGATATTTGAACTAAGGAGTTCCGGAGTATTACAGGGGTTTATATACTGTAGGTATCATGTAAGTAAATCAGTCAGCAAAGGTAAGGGCTATGTATGAAGCATGTGGAAAGTCTATTACCAAGTGTAACAGATCAAAGCAGTGAAGTCAGAAATGAAGTAAGAATGGATGGATCAGTAAGCATAGCGGAATAGGACATAACCGGTAACCGGAGCAATAGCTACTCTAAAAGGAGTTAGGGGTGAGTGTGGAGATGAAGGCGGAGCGCCGGGCGGAATAGCAAGACGGAGGACCGGACTTTAATGAAGTAGATCCGGAATTCCGGATCTGGAGGTACGGGATATGACACTTACTTAGAGTATATAAACATATGTACATCTGTCTATAAATCTTTAGTCTGAATATTACCTTTTCTAAGCCCTGCTCTCTTGTCCCTGTTCTTGGGCAAAGCCTTTGACAACTCCTGTTTGCCGGCCTAGGGGATTGACTCCCTAGGTTGGCCCCCTTCTCCGCTCATCCGACTTCCCACGCCTCCACCACCTTTCCTGTGCGTCAGACTTGTGGCTAATACTCTCATACTCTTTTTCCTCCATGTTTCCACTCTGCTTCAGACTTCGTCCAAGCAGTCTCCCCTGCTCTGTTCCTACTGTTAGCTCTGACTGCAGCAGCCCTCCAACTCTCCCCTATAGGGCGGACCAATCTCTGCCTGACGTTCCTGTGCTCATCTAGTAGTCTGTTGGTACTCCTTTGGAGGACCTCCACTCTGACATCCTGTCGGACCTTGTAGAACTCAAGTCAGACTACAATCCAGGATTAGGGGCACATACTCGGGTAAGGGGCACAGTGCACAAGCTGAAGCTAAGCCCCTCAGACTCAGCCTTACCCCTGAGCACAGTCTTAACAGACTAGCACTCCCCAGTAGCAATCCCCTTTAGGGTCAAATGTGCTTGTTCTCAAGCGAGGCAGCAGGCAGCAAAGACCCAACTTTGTAGTAGTTAGATTTCTTGCTACTACACTTGTTGTACCCACACCGGTGTGGTAATAACAAGTCCTGTGAGGGTAGGACAAAGTTGGGTCTGGCATCACCTAGCTGCTATGTCTAGAGAGTAGACAATGTTTGACCCTAGACTCAGATCATCTCCACCTATCAGGGAACATGGGAACCAGATCATCCTGGATGCACTGGTGATCACACTGATCATGTCCCTACTGTTTCAGAGGTCAAGAGATATGATGCACCAAGTTTCAGGATGGTAGGAATTTTTTGTGAGGTGATAGACTTAGGTCATCTCCAGTCATCAGAAGGCACCAGGACTAAATTATCTTGGATACACTAGTGATCAGGCTGATCATGTCCCTACCATTTTAAAAGCCAGAGAACATGATAGGCTGGTTTTCAGGATCCCTACAATTTATATGGGATGATATACTCAGATCATCTCCACCCACCAGGAGACACTAGAGCCAGATCACTTTGGATGGACAAGTGACCAAGCTGACCATGTCCTCACCATTTTAAAGGTTAGAGAAGATAATGAACCAAGTTTCAGCATCATAGGAATTTTTGTGAGGTGATAAACTTAGGTGTCCTCCAGTCATCAGGAGGCACCAGGACTAGATCATCTTGGATGCACTAGTGATCAGGCCAATCATGTCCTTATCATTTTATAGGTCAAGAAAGATGGTGGACCAAGTTTCAGGATGTTTAGAATTTTTTGTGGGCTGATAGACTTAGGTCACCTCCTGTCATATCCCATACCTCTGGATCCAGAACTCCAGAACTCCCTCACTAAAGTCTGGATCTCTGTCCTGTTATTCCACCTGGCACTCCACCTTCATCTCCATACTCACCCCTAGCTCCTTTTAGAATAGCTATTGCTCTGGCTACCGGTTATATCCTTTCCGCTATGCTTACTGATCCGTCCATTCGTACTTCATTTCCGACCTCACTGCTTTGATCCATTATACACTTACTAATAGACTTTCCACATGCTTTGTACATAGCCCTTACTTTGCTGACTGATTTACTTACATGATACCTACAGTATATAAACTCCTGTAATACTCCGGAACTCCTCAGTTTAAATATCATCTTAGTTCTGCTCATTCCTGCTTCTCCAGACTTGAGTCTCATCTCTTGTCTACCTCCGAGTCTTAGGGTTCAACCTTAGGATTAAATCTCTGGCTCTACCTTAGGGTAGTCTAAACTCTGTTCTGTTTCTACTCTGGACTTGTCCATAGTAGCCTTACTCCATTCTCTCATAGTCTTCTGGAGTTCCGCTGAACTCTCCTGATGTCTGACCTCTGGACTTCCCCAGACTTCCGTTGGAATTCCTCTCTGCCCCTCAGGAATTAAGGGCATGTACTCAGGTAAGGGGCGCAGCGCATGAGCTGAAGCTGAAGCCCTTTGAGTTGTCTTTCCCTTGAGTACAACCTTAACACCTCCAGTCATCAGGAGGCACCAGGACTAAATCATCTTGGATGCACCAGTGACCAAGCTGATTATGTTCCTACCATTGTAAAGGTCAAGAATAATGGTGCACCAAGTTTCAGAGCAGTAGCAATTTTTTGTGAGATCATAGACTGAGAACACCTCCTGCTATAAAGAGACACCAAACCCAGATTATCCTAAATGTACCAGTAACTATACTAATCATGTCCCTACCATTTTAAAGGCCAGAGAACATAATAGGCTAGTTTTCAGGATCCCCAGAATTTTTTGTGAGGTGATAAACTCAGATCATCTCAACCCACCAGGAGACACCAGAGCCACATCACTCTGGATGTACCAGTGACCAAGCTGATCATGTGCCCACCATTTCAAAGGTCAGAGAAGATGATAAACCAAGTTTCAGGATCACAGGAATTTTTTTCATTGCTATAGTTCACCCCCTCCTCCTCTCACATAGAGCAAATGTCTGAGTATGGTCATCATCAGATGGAGATACCAAATTTACCTGATTATAATACTTATAGACCTATATGAAAGTGATATAACTCCCTGTAGATGACATAATACCTGTTGAATATGGTCATGGAGTGGTATCACCTTCCAAACAGTAAAATAGACATAACTCATGTTCCTGACCACCAAATTTTATAAAAGTGAGTGGAATACAATCACAGTAACACCCTCTATCAAATGAGATACTCATCAAACAATAAAAATGTGACACATTTTATATAATATACAGCCATACAGTGTATAGTCCTTGAACATGATGATCTTGTCATTGGCAAGTGTCATATACCTGATCCGACCACTCCAATATTAATATCTGCTCTGCTTTCCGACCACCTCCGCTCCATCCATCCTCTGCTCTGTCCAATCATTGTCCACATCTGCCCCTATGCTTCTGCTCAACCGCCCAACCAGTCCCCTTCCATAATGTCTCCATTCAACTGGAACCTTTTTCCCCTTTTAGATATATACTTTCCCCTTCAGTACATAGACCCTTACTTCCGGATCACCGGTAATTCCTCTTACCGCTCGATCACTGATCCGACACATACATATTGATATCCACTCCAACTTATGTCTTCACCGGTGTAAGTACTTACAAATTATATCCTTGGTACATAGCTTTACAACATAGTTATCCTGGTCACTGCCTTATACATAGAAGTATATAACATATCCTGTACTTAGATATTTTCCCCAGTCTCAATATTACTTGTCTTCTTGCAGTTTCTACTTTAAGGTGAGAATTCTCAGTAGGACCTTGCCACCTCCAGACACAAGTTTCATCTTGTTGTCACCTCCGACCCTCCACTCTGACTTAGAGCCATGCTCTAAGTCTTCTCCTTACTTCCCTGCCCCTATCAAGTATTCCCCTGCTCCTATCCACCCTGCGCACTATCCTCTGCCTTCTCCGCTCTGCTCCTAGTTGGCCCGCAGCACTTACCTCCCGACCCTCAAAGCAGACCTAAGCGGATCACTTGTCCTATCATCAGACAACATTGGACCCACTCCAAATTTGGGGCACATACTTGGCTAAGGGCGCAGTGCAAGAGCTGAAGCCAAGCCCTGAACCCTCTGCTTCCTGAGCTGGCACGGTACCTAACAGCAAGGTCAAATGCAGGACATGTATGTGTCCTACAGTCAACAGGTGAAAGACCATGGGCAACAGGTGCAGGAATAATCAATGTGAATGAACCAACACCCTCAGCAGCAGGCATGGTAAGCTTGAACATGCGCTGTCAGCATGAAGGTTTAACTTCAACTGTGTGCAAATGGCCTCCTCAGTACTAGTGGGTGTCACTGATGTATCAATGCCACACAATGCAGGTGATGCTTGTGAAAAATGATGGAAAAAGTTGGCTAAGTGTGGATATTTGTTGTAATTGAAGGGGTGAGTAACAATGGCTCCCTCCCTGTCCCATCTGATGATGCAAGCAAAATTGTGCACAATCAGGGCCGAGAAAGTGTGAGTACGGTATTGAGCACCAAGCTGGGCTGCAGTGTAGCTTGTGATTTGTCCTAATGTGTCTATCATATACCGGATCTGAGCACCTCCAATACCACCTGTGAACATCCCTACTGCTGGTCCGACCCCCTGTTTCCCATCCGCTCCATCCCTCCTCCTCCGACAATGCACAAAGTGCATCTCAGCAGGACTAGCCCTGCTACCTCCACCCAACTCCACTCCGCTCCTTTGACACTACCCCTACTTCCTCCAACACCATATCCCTACCATCCGACCCTATCTGGATCTCTGCTCCTCCACCCTATTGGTCCGCCCAATCCTATTCCTACTCCCTCCGCTTTTCCGACTCGCACGGATCCTTCAGTTCCGCTCATATTCCCCCACCCAACTATTAGTCCGTCTGACCGCCTCACCGGTCCACTCCTAGACTAGGAACCACTCAACTGGTCCTATCCCCATTTAGTATCATAGTTCCGCTTTTCAGATCACCGGTAATCCCTATACCCTAGCAATTATTGATCCGTCGCGTACATACTGTTCCCCGAGCCTTATTCTCGTATGTCTCAGTCATCCTATTGTATTCCTGTACACTCAGCATATAGCCTTCTGCTATGCTATGCTCATTACTTAGAGTATATAAACATATGTACATTTGTCTGTAGATACTCAGTCTGAATATTACCTTTTCTAAGCCCTGCTCTTCTGTTCTTTGACTTGGGCCTGATCCTAGTCAACTCCTGTTAAGCCGGCCTAGGGGATTGACTCCCTAGGTCAGTCATCCTCAGATCCTCCGTTCCCCCGTTCCCCCGTTCCCCCGTTCCCCCGTTCCCCCGTTCCCCCGTTCCCCCGTTCCCCCGTTCCCCCGTTCCCCCGTTCCCCCGTTCCCCCATTCCTCCGCTCCCCTGACCTCCCGTCCATCAGAACTAGACCCCGCACTCTCGCATCCGTCCCCTCTGTTCCGCTCTGCTTCGGACTTTGTCCAAGCAGTTCCTTCCACTCCGCTGCTACTGTTGGTTCCGACCACAGTAGTCTCCGGCCTCCCTCCTGTCGGGCGGAACAACCCCCACCTGACTTTCCTGCGCTCACCTAGTAGTCTGTTGGTCCTCCTTCAGAGGACCTCCGCTCCGACGTCCTGTCGGAGCTCATAGAACTTGAGTCGGACTACAATACGAAATTAGGGGCACATACTCGGGTAAGGGGCACAGCGTATGAGCTGAAGCCAAGCCCCTCAGACTCCACTTTACCCCTGAGCATGGTCTTCACAGACAGTCTGGTTGATAAAGGAGGATTTGTCCTTTGAGTCAAGAGGAGGGTCGCAAAAGGCATCATGAACGGCAGCCCACTTCAATTTGACAAGAACTTCTGCAATAGAAACATTGCAGCTGTGGGATGTTCCATCAGCATATATGCTGATGTCCGGCTTGACAGTGAATGAGAAAGCTTGAGAAAGCTTTGTGTCTGCATGATTGGAAGTGTCAATGAATGATAAAGCGGGGGCAAAGGATTTCAAAGTGCCAATCTGTAACATTAAAGTTAGACTGTCAGCAATCCCAATATGGTAGTTATGGAGTGCTCACAAATGGTTCATAAGCCAGCACCTCATCTTTGACAGAGATTGTGGTATCAAATATGCCACTCTTGAAGGTTAAAGCAGGGAGATCTGGTATCTCTGAAGTCTGTAGGAACTCCTCAAGAAATTCCTGGACTAGCATCAGGCCAACGCAATAATTTTTCATCTCTGTGCCCATGGCATTAACTGTGAAATGCCGGCAACGCGCATTGGTTGTCCAGGGGAACTTTGTGGAACTACCCTGTTTGAAAGGAGTGTCGGTGATTGCAGGAGTAAGCTGGGTGTTTTGTAAGTCCTTGGTGGGAAACTGTGGGGGTGTCTGAAACATGCTTGGTTGTACAGTGGTGCTAGTCTCGTTGATAAGCACCTTGTTAGGTACTGTGCTGGGCTCAAGAAGTGGAGGGGTTGGGGCTTAGCTTCAGCTCTTGCACTGCACCCTTAGCCGAGTACATGCCCCAAATTTGGAGCGGGTCCAACATTGTCCAACGGTAGGACGAGTAGACCACTTTGGTCCGCTTTGAGGGTCGGGAGGTAAGCGCTAATAGCAGCAGGCTGACTAGGAGCGGAGTGGAGAAGGGTGGAGGATAGTGCAGAGGGTGGATAGGAGCAGAGGGGGGTGATTAATAGAGGCGGAGAAGTAAAAGGGGGAGACTTAGAGCACGGCTCTAAGTCGGAGCAGAAAGTTGGAGGTGACAACAAGATAAAACTTGTGTCCGGAGGAGGCAAGGTCCTACTGAGAATTCTCACAAGTAGACACTGCAAGAAGACAAGTAATATTAAGACTGAGGAAATATCTAAGTACAGGATATGTTATATACTTCTAAGTGCAAGGCAGTGATTAGGAGAACTATGTTGTAAAGCTATGTACCAAGGATATAATTTGTAAGTACTTACACAGGCAAAGACATAAGTTGGAGCAGATATCAATATGTATGCATCGGGTCAGTGATCGAGCGGTAAGAGGAATTACCGGTGATCCGGAAGTAAGGGTCTATGTACCGAAGGGGAAAGTATATATCTAAAAGGGGAAAGAGGTTCCAGTTGAATGGAGACATTATGGAAGGGGACTGGTTGGGCGGTCGAGCAGAAGTGTAGGAGTGGATGCAGATGATGATTGGACAGAGTGGAGGACAGATGGAGCAGAGGTGGTCGGAAAGCGGAGCAGATATTGATATTGGAGCGGTCGGATCAGGTATATGACAGTATCCCTGTCATATACCTGATCTGACTGCCCAACCGGTCCCCTTCTATAATATCTCCATTCAACTGGAACCGCTTTCCCCGTTTAGACATATACTTTCCCCTTCGGTACATAGACCCTTACTTCCGGATCACCGGTAATTCCTCTTACGGTCGCATCAGGTATATGACACACCTCCAGTGCATGAGACTCATATATAATATTTGTAAATATAGTATTACAACGTATCTTGGTGATCTATGAAATAATGATGATGGCAAATTCCGGCAGCAAACCCCATACACTGGGATGATGATGATGGAGAAAAAAAAACAGAAATTGATGGTTTGAAGCATTAAATAGTGAATAGAACTCAGCCAGGTATTCCTGAAATCCGCAACCAGTGGTGGTCCTCAGGCAGTCTACAGTACATGTTTGGCTTTGTCTGTGTATGGATGATATTGTGGAAGAATGACGTTGTGGGGAGAAGAATGACATTCCACATTGTATTAATAAGGTTTTACAGCTGAGTAGCGACATTTTGAGAAAGAACAAAATAAATAAATAATAGCCACATACATACATCACAAATTAACCATCATGTATCGGAAAATCAGTCATGACGTCAAACTAGCCGCAATCAATCTTCACGAGCATCAACACCTTGCACTCAAAGACATTCTTGCTTGTGTCAGATTTTCAGAAAGCATGTTCTGGTGGATCCTCAAGCTCTGGCACGAAACCGGAGACATTGTTAGGCATACATTTGGTATTTGTGGTCATCCTCATACCCTTCATTGTGACGATGTACTATATCTTGTCTGTCTCATTCACCATCGCCCCGAATGGTTCTTAGATGAGCTCCTTTGACTTCTCAATACCAATTTATATGAGTGCTGCAAGTATAGATCATTACTCCAGATGACAACAAAGTGCAACAAAGTATCCCAATGAGATTGAGAAACAGTAGTAACTCTCAGACTGGGACATACCTATAGATATTCTCATACAGATTGATCATGAGTGCAACCTAGGCTATGGTGCAATATGGCCTAAAAATGGATCAATGAAGATCAGCGTCTTTCCCATGGTATGTTTTTGGCTCCTATGTGTCTATATAGCATGAACCATCACACTTGAGCCATTGTACATTGATAGTAACATCCAATCATAAGTCAAGAGCTACTATGAATGTGTCAGGGGTACATAGATGGTGGAAGAAAAGAAAAGACATTAACAGATGATCTCGGGGTTTTGTTAGGTACCGTGCCGGGCTCAAGAAGTGGAGGGGTCGGGGCTTGGCTTCAGCTCTTGTGCTGCGCCCTTAGCTGAGTATGTGCCCTGAATTTGGAGTGGGTCCGACGTTGTCTGACGATAGGACAAGTGGACAAGTGCTAGTGGATAGGGGCAAAGGGGGATTATTGATAGAGGCGGGGAAGTAAGGGGAAAGACTTAGAGCACGGCTCTAAGTGGCTCTAAGTCGGAGCGGAAAGTCGGAGGTGACAACAAGATGAAACTTGTGTCCAGAGGAGGCAAGGTCCTACTGAGAATTCTCACCTTGAAGTAGAAACTGCAAGAAGACAAGTAATATTAAGACTGGGGAAAATATCTAAGTACAGGATATTTTATATACTTCTAAGTGTGAGGCAGTGATTAGGAGACTTATGTTGTAAAGATATGTACCAAGGATATAGTTTGTAAGTACTTACACAGGCAAAGACATAAGTCGGAGCGGATATCAATATGTACGCGTCAGATCAGCGATCAAGCGGTAAAAGGAGTTACCGGTGATCCAGAAGTAAGGGTCTATGTACTGAAGGGGAAAGTATATATCTAAAAGAGGAAAGAGGTTCCAGTTGAATGGAGACGTTCTAGAAGGTGACCAGTCGGGTGGTCGAGTGGAACCATAGGAGCGGATGCAGACTGTGATTGGATGGAGCGGAGGATGGATGAGGCGGAGGTGGTCGGAAGGCGGAGTGGATATTGATATTGGAGCGGTTGGATCAGGTATATGACAGGTTTAAATGGTGAACTGGATATTCCCAGTTGAATTCTAGTGGCCTGGTCATTTTCACCTGATACTCAGTATCAAATGTTTGCGTGTATCATAGTGGAGAGAAGTATTGAGGACAAATACACTGAAGTGGTATGACATAGGTATAAATGTTACATAAAATGGCTAATATCCAAACAATAAGAATTTTCTGGATGACAAAAAGCAGCCTTGAGCTCCTGCAGCTCAGATGCTGTTGTGTCTCCAGGCCTGAGACAAACCTTTTCAACATGCTGGAAGACTTGTAGCCAAGGACTGCAGCTGAACTACATGACATTAGTTTAATGTGAAATGGCTTCATATATAGTGCTCACCAAGGGGTGTTGACCTGAATATTTGTACCAATGTGGTAGAAAGATGGTGAGATTCTTGACCAGAATGGTTCAATATTTGTCCAATGGGACATCAAAACTTGGAGAAATCAGCAGTTAGTTGTAAAAACTGAGTTGCAGGTGATCTATGGCAATAAATTGTTGGGTAATATCTAGGATTGCCGACAAGTAATTGGGAGTGGACGCCAGAAAGTGACCATCCAGCTCCAAGTCGAGGGTTTGAATGCATAGAGGCAAACAAACCTTGTCTAATAGAGACAAAAGGTACCAGTGTGGTCCAGTGAGAGAGTGCAAGCCATGTATGGGAATGTGGGAAGTAGTCATATTCTGCATAAGGTCCATGCCATCAGGAGAACCGATCTTCAGACGCATGCTGTAAAGCCAGAGCTGGTGAACCCCATGCCACATCAAGAACTCAACAAGCACGGTGTGGGGGAGCATCCCCACTGTAGGCCTGTATCCCGTATATTTCCCAAGCCTTACCAGTATCTTTCCATGTGTTCCACTACCTATCCACTTCTTATTTGACTCGCCCGCTACATGGAACTAAGTGGAACAATGCAGAACCAAGCAGAACAACCACGCATCACACACATCATATCCCTTTAGCCTTCGGAATGTCCTCCTCTGTCCTGTCCCTGTCCTTCCATCCTCACTGGTGAGTACTTGCTATGTTCCTTGTGTTGCTGACATGTTGCTATCTCATTTCACATGTGTTATGATACTTATACAGATCTTTCCGCTACTCAGAACCGGATCCTTATCTCACAGCCTCGCCTGGTTGTAGCATAGTGCTTTTCGGAACCCTTCCTATATAGATAGCAATAGATGGGATCTTAGTTTTTTTTTACCTTTTGATAGACTTGACTCCACTTCCACTTACAAAGTACTTCCCAGTACTCCACTCACTGTTTAAAATATCTTCCCGAATCTATTCTTGACAGAATCACAATGCTCGTGCATCCATGAGTTCCACTTGAAACACCCGACTTCTGAATCCAACGACTTGCAGCTCTTGTGCTGCACCCTTAGCCAAGTACATGCCCTGAATTTGGAGTGGATCCGACAATGTCCGATGATAGGACGGGTGGACTGCTTTGGTCTGCTTGGTGGGTTGGGAAGTAAGTGCTGCTAGCGGTAATCCGACTAGGAGCGGAGCGGAGGAGGTGGAGGAAGTTTATTGGGACGGAGGGGAGCAAGGGGAGTGATTGGTGGAGTCAGAGAGGTGAGATTGAATACTTAGAGCGTGGCTCTAAGTTGGAGCGGAGGGTCAGAGGTGATGACAAGGTAAACTTTGTGTCCGGAGAGGGAGCAAAGTACTACGGAGAATTCCCACTAGTAGAGACAGCGGGAAGACAAGTAATATTAAGTCTGGGGAGTAGCTATGTACAGGAGGTGGTTTTTATATACTCTATGTAGGAGGCAGTGACTAGTAGTCCTTGGTATGAGGCTATGTACTAAGGATACAATTTGTAAGTGACCACAGGTGGAAAACATAAGTCAGAGTGGATATCAATATGTACACATCGGATCAGTTAGTTGAGCGGTTATTGGGGGTATCATGGATCCAGGAAGTAAGTACTAAGTGCAAATGGGGAAGGAGCACCATCACGTCCTCAGAACACTGTTACTGGATGGCGCGCTTGTTTTGTGCGCTGGCTTTACTGTGCACCTATTCAGCACATGGACGGTCAATATTAGGGAATCGACCCTTTGGCTTGCACGGTCATTCATTTTGTTGCATCTCATTCTTCATGACTTTC